CCTCAAAACACAAGGGAGATCTCATGAATCCTTTGGGGCAAGTCGTTCTGCTCTGTTTCACATCACCCTAGTGCAGGACTATTGCTTGCAGATGTTTTTGCAGAGCATACAATGCCAATTGGACAAAAATCTGCATTTAAGAAGTAGTTGTTCTGTGAAAATCTTGAGCAAAGGTTTGAATTTATCTTTCCTAAAGATTATGAAGTAGACCTCAAACTGAACTTGCCTCCTGTAAAATGTGGGAACAGATAGTGTATTTAGATTACCACAGAGTTGAAGCACGTGCTGCTAACCGAGATGCAAAGAAGGAATAAACAATGACTTAACACCATTCCTGTTCCACAGAGAGCCATAAATATGGGGAGAAAGTTGCTGAGTAAGGCACTAACGCAGCAAGTGGTAGAAATTAATCAAGAAGTAGTGCCGTTTTTATAGGGCGAAAAGGATTCAGGAACAGACTGACTGCACAGAGATGGGGCTGAGATCAATTGCACAGGAACAGCCTTCTTGGATTAAATGGCCATTCCCAGTGCAACCAAATGCTATTAGTGAACCTGTATAAGAGGAATCACTTTTTATATGGAAGGGAGGAACAACACCAAGAATCTTACGTAGTCTATGATTTTGCAAAGCTGCGGTGAACTAGATATCAAACAGGGATGCCAGTAGGCAGAAGCTTTGGAAATACCTGAAAGTGAGAGAAATCAAGCAGAAACCATTGCAGCCCAAGTTAAGATCATGAACAGTATGCAGAAATGAAGTGGGAAGCAAAGGTGGCTTCAAAAACTATATGTGGACCTCCTCTGTTCTGGATGCGACCACTGGGGCTGGGTGAAAAAGTCTCTGTAAAAGATTTTGAGCCTTCTTAAAACCTCTCATCTGAATGGGGATGAAAAGTAAACATCAGAAAGTGATGAGGGTACTAACAAGCTTCACGGCAGTTTTTTAAATTATGATTAATTTCAATCTTTATCCTTTTGTTTTGCAAACCTTTTCAGTACGATTTAACAAAAATTGGGAAAATAGCTTACTGATTTTTTCATATAGAAACTGTCAAAACTGAGTATGTTAGACATTTTCAAAATTGACTTAAAAGCATTTTAAATTGAGGAGTTTAGTGTCTTGTTTTTTTTTTTTAATTAGACTCTTGTAGGTCATGATATAATTTTTGACAACTTTTCATTTTCTGACCGTATGCCAGGACTGTTTCACTGCAGAATTTCCCAGCTATCACTGCCGGCCGTTGTATTGCAACAAACTGTGCCAACGGCCCGGGATCAACAGCAACAGGGCTCCCATTCAACACCCGTCTGACCTGGCTGCGCCCTCTGAAGTAGGTGCCAGCTGGGCATCTCTTTATGCCAGCGCTATTTCTGGTGGGCAGTGCTGCCAAGGCAGTATGAAAAGGGCTTTGTCGGAAGGGACATGTGAGCCTGGTTCTTCATTGTCAAACACCTTTATAGATATTTCCGCCATGAAACATGGGTGTAAAATAACGCAGTTTGCACTCGCCTCCTTAAGGTGAAGGGCAAACAAACCAGCGTCTTCATTTTCTTTTCCTTCTGTCCCAGGAAGATAACGGCATGACTATGATTTTGTTCCTCTTTTGGTCATTGGTACCTATGCTAAATAACTCAGGATATTTCATTTGCTTCTCTGGTGGTGTTTTTCTCTCCCATTTCCCAGGTTTGAGTGACTTCACAAGGCGCACGGCGGGCAGTGAAGAATCAAGCCCTGTGTTCGCACAGCCTGTCAGGTTCTCCTTGTCTTTCCACTCACCGGTGAAGGTGAACCAAAGCCAGCCAGAGTGGGCTGCATCACTGATACGCAATCTCACAGCCCAGCCAAGTACAAATAATCCATTTGTGTCACTCTTGAGAGGTTTCTGAGGATTATTGTCTGTATCCTGAAAAGAAGAAATGAAACCCAATGACCTGGGAAAGTGTGTGGTGTGGGGGAAGGAGGTCCCTGACAGGTGGAGGTGGCTGTAGCCAGGCCCTGGGGGGTTTGGAGAAATCTGTCGAAGGCAGCTTCCCTTCCTAAACCCTGCCAAGGAGAAGGACCTTCTGAGCAGAATGACATTCCACCTGTGTTTGACTGCCACCAGGTTTCACTTCTCTCCTGTTTTAAAACATTTAGTTCCTGTTTTAAAATGGAAACATCACATCCAACAGATATTTAACCTGACTGTTTGAAAAGCAAACCTGAAACCGGGAAAGGGGACTCTGCCATGGTGGAGCATAACACTGCTGCAAAGCCCCAAGAGCCTGCATGATGTTTGTTTTTTCCTGATGATATCCTCCGGCTTGGGAAGGAGGGAAGAATTAATGGCACCAGGGAAACAGGAGAGCCATCATACAGAAGATCAGGTTCCCCAGTAGAATTTGGGGTATATACTGAGTTGCTTTTGACCTAGCAGGGATCAGTGCCTTCAGTAGTGAGGTGGTGTGAGGAACACAAGAACCCTGATCACACCACCAGTCTCTGTAGCATCATTTACACAGCTGGAGATCTCTGTGCCTTCCGTTCCCGAGGGACCCCAGCGATTTGCACGTGTAAGGTAAAGGAGAGTCACCTATCACCGTGTGTCAGAAAGGTGGGTTTTGTTGAGGGAGCGGCAAGAGGACAAACATAAGCTGGTAACAACAGAATCACAGGACTTGGGAATAAAAGGCTACCTCGAGGCAGGATGATCGACATAACTGCACACACATCATTCCTGACAGGCACTCGCTCTTGCCAGTAGTTAAAAATCATGACTTATGAAATCTGAAGTTTTCCCAAATGATCTATTCTATAGTTCCACTGTTCTTTTCTATTAGAAAGCCTGTAGCAAACATCTAACCTGAATTTTTCCTGCTACAACTTAAGCTCATTGCTTGTCACATCCACCAAGGAAATCCAGACAGGGCCGTTTACTCCTATTCTCTTTTTATCAGCCACTTACTGTTTCTGAAGAGTGTTACTGTGCTTCTCTTCAGTCTTTTCTTCCTCAGACTAAATGCCAGTTTATTCAATCTTACATCATAAATCAAGTTTTTATAAAGTGGGTCATATTTTTTACTTTGTTTTTCCTAGTTCTCCTTCATCTCTTTTTCCTCATCTTCTCTCTACCTCATAATTTATCTACCCCCAGCTCTTTACCATAATCTGATTCTATCCTACACTATTTTCTTCTCTATCAGTTTTGTGACTTTTGCAACACGACTTGCTCTGGAATTCAAGTTTCTTCTTATTCTGTTTTGCCTTCCTGCTTTTGCAAAGGATGATCTTAAAGTACTGAAACATTGTCTGACTGCTTGGTTAGAGGAGAAGTGCAGACTGAGCACAACTTTACGAGTCAAGAGCTCCTGAGCTGTAGCTCTGGCTCAGCAGCAGCTTGTCTTCAGTACAGCCCCAGGCAAGGCAGGCAACCTTGCCCTTCTTTTGAGCTTCTTGAGGACTTGAGTGATTTTTTTTAAATTACAGTGCTTTATTTCAAGAAATATAAGCAAACTAGCACTAGTCTGAATATTTGAGCTAGTTTTGGGTAAGTGTCAAGGTCTCCTAAGCAGCTCACATTCTTCTGGTCACAATCAGTCTCTAACATCACTTTAAAGAACCCCTCTAGAAATGAAAAGTTTATATATAATTAGTGCTTACAGGCTTTAGGGCTGTCATAAGGCTGAGGGATATAAAGACAAAAAAGATTAGGTGCTGTTATGTGTCTCACATCTACAAACCAGTATTGTCACTCTTAATATTGAAGAGTCCTTCTGAGCTGAGGGCTGTCACAGGGTGTTGGTTTATTTTTGTTTGTGGGGTTTTTAACGTCTTCGTGCCAAAACCAGCTCATGGGTGTATTGCCCAGTATTGGGCATAAATGCTTGCAATGTCTTCTGAACCCACATGTCAAGAATATCCAGCCATAGCTTCACACATTTGAAAGGCAAAGTTAATGATTTTAAGTTAATCCAGAGATCTTTATGTATGTAACTGATTGCAAGATAATGAATTCTTCTGAAAAATTTCCTTTTGTTTATTAAAAAAAATACCATGTAAGAAACTTCCAGGTCTGGATATTGTTCTGTTCAGTGCAAAGGACAGATTGTTGGCACTCCTGGGTAAATCTGCTCTCTGGCAAAGGAGTGCTTCTTATCAAGTGCTCTGATGTTCAAGTGCCTGAGGGCTTGTTCACATGGGAAAATTCAGTGGTATTATTCATACCTCTCCACTGCAAAATATGAGTACCCACATGGGAACTCAACAAGGGTATAATTATTTTGCTCTAGAAAAGTCCTAGGTACTTTTATATAGTTTCTCCCCAGAAAGTTAGCTATGGCACAGGTAATACAACACACTAGAGAAAATGCATTTGGGGACATCAGATAAAATGCATTTGGGGATATCAGACAGGACCGCTTTGTACAAAAGCAACTCTCTGCTCGTGTGACAACACATTTCCCTATTTGAGCTTGTTTTTTCACGCAGCACACTCAGTCCTTACTTTAAAAACCCTCATTCTACAGCGAAATTAAAACAAACTCCATGCATGTACTTATCCACAACCACCCACCCACTATTTTAATTATTGATTTTACTTTTGCTGCACTTACAATTCCTGTCTTCAAAGCATCATCTGAACCTAAATGCATCCTCGCTCTGGGCACCGCACTCAGACAGATGGTATCTGAGCAGTGACTACAGCTCTCGGTAAGCGAACAATGGGGAATGCTGATGGAGAGCGCTAGCGCTAGCTCGGGAAAATAAGCAAGAATAGAATCCAGGTAACGTAAAACAATTTCACACTTCAAAGGATATTAACAGGACGTGCTGCACCTGCAGCCATCAATTTCATTTGCATAGGAGAAAAACAATCTCTGCGCTGCAAACGTAACGCAATGGGTAGGAGGGATGGAAGAGTGAGAGAGAGAGAGAGAGAGAGAGAGAGAAAACACAGACGTATCCAGCGTCCCTCAGCAGTGACGGGGATGTGGCCTTTGCTGTTCTGCCTTTTGTGCCTACACCGCCCTTTGCAGCTCTCGCCGAGCGACCCGAAGCAGGTGGTATAACTGAGAGAGAGATGTCCGAGTCCTCTGGTGCCCGGCAGCGCCCGCGCGCCCTGGCTCTGCACACTCCTGTACGGCCTTCTGCAGCTGCAGCTGCAAGGGGAAGGGAACCGACAGTCCTCTGAGACTTGGGGAAAACCAGCGACGGAATATTTTGTCACAAATTACCTGAGGAAAGGGAAAAGAGCAGATTGTTGTCTTTCAGGAGCCACAACTAATGCCCTGCTGCTTCTCTGGGACTGCAGCAAAATGTCATCTGAATCCAAAACGCCTCCAGCCATTCAAAGAGGAAGGTATAGGAAAGGAGCATCCACAAAAGCTATGCTCTAGTTGAGGAATCCCCCTTCTTCTCAGACCGCTCTTGCACTTCTGCACAACAAGGGGTGAGGGTGAGGGGTGGGAGAAGCAGGCAAAAGGCACCCAAGCTACAGTCCCCCAGCCTCTCCACCGTGCAAGTGCCTCCCACCAGCACAAGCTGGCTGAGCTGTAAGACACCTCATCCCAGGGCCAAGAACTCCACGGACTCCCCTTTCCACTGCATACACTTACTACATTTGTAGAGTGGAGAATCGCAACCAGAACCCCCCAACGCTTACGCATGGACAGCCCCAACTTCACCGTTAGTGGAGACAGTGACGCTGACCCCCTGCCCCTACTTCCTTCACTCTCCTACCCAAGGCGTTGGGCTAACAGCTACACAAAATCACGGCAACTGAACACTAGCAAACGTAAAGCTCTGTTTGCATGCCCCAAGATGGGATTTCTGAACAGGATTGGCACTTAATGTGGCCACGATTAAAAACCTGACTGTCTCCATCTCAGAGTCTCCTAGTACAGACCACGCGTTTTATAGTCAATGTGATTTTCAAAGAAATGGATGCATAAAGCAGCTGTGTCTACTCACTTGCAAGTTGTTATTGGCTCTCTGTGCTCCACATTTTCTGATTTTCAGATTGCATTTTGAAAAGCAATCGAAAAAATTACAATCTTCATCTCCTGTGCAGTTCTGTTCGAGGATATCTCTCATTTTGGGTTCAAAAAAGGCCATATCCACATCAATGGCCACCACCTGCGGATCAAAACAAGCCATCAGATCTGGCACAGCACAGCCTGTGGGACAGGGCTGAGCAAGCGTGCCTGTGCTGCTTGCTTTCGGAAATGCTGTGGTGAGAGCATCTGCCAGTGGGGAACTGGGATCACAATGAAAGGGCTTTATTTCGCTTAACTGAGATGCACTAGTCTTATGAATACCACTTTTTAAGCAAAACCAGCCAATGCTTACAAAACCAGGAAAGGGAGAATTATTTGTGGACAATATGCGTCCCACGGGTCAATTGGATTGATTTGCCTTAAACAGTGACTATCCAACTTGAAGATTCATTTACTTCTTGTTGCACTTTAAGCAGATGGCACATCAACCTTTTAATTATATGATGGTACAAAATTACCCACAGGCCAGATGGTATCATTTCACAATTCACCTTCCGGACTAAACCGCTGACTTGACCATTGTGGAGAGGAGCAGTGGGATGCACAGAAGTACCTGCACCTGGTACAGCTCCTGCAAACCTACCATTCGATCCAGTGGGTTTGCATCTGCTCAGCTGCAGAAAGAGACCCCTGAGGCTGTAGAAAGTCAAGACTGGCTTTGTCGAGTCCTGTTTGCCATGGTTTGACTCATTTATTGGGCATGGTTCTCGTTCTGCTTGTCCAGAAGTATGGTCCATAACAGAGGCCAGCCAGCAGCTGGTCTCAGCAGAAAAAGCAAGGACAGAAGGGATCAATCCATTTTCTCACCCTAACATAAGGCTTGCAAAATAGCGAATACGCAGCACACAGAGGTCTGCAGAGCTGCTGCCTGTGCTGGGTTCGAGACCATTCTGGGAGCGAAGGGCTGTACTCTCAGTTCCTGCCAGCGCCGTTCCACCCATGAATACTTCACTTAAAAGAATCACAGCAATAAACAGGGGGAGAAAGGAAGCCGGGAACGGGGTGGCAGCTGCTTGGCATGAGACAAGCTGTGGGTGACCACAGCGCGGGCAGCCTGCCTTCAGAGCCATGGATGCAGTCACCGGCCCACACTCAGAGCTCTGCTTAATGCTCGGCAGGCAAGGTCACGGGCTCTCCCTCGCAGCAGCTGACACACGTTTTCATGGAGGGAAACCTCTGGGACTTGGGCAAAGAAGAGTTACCTGGGCTCAAACGATAGTCTCCTTTTTAAGATTTGAACTCCCAAATAACAGGGGAAGCTGAACCACGTGGCTGGAGCAGCAGCTGGACCAACCCCTGGAACTGAAGATGTCTGGTCTGGTGGAAGGCCAAATAAACCTTCCACAGGCAAAAGAAAGAACAAGGTCTAATCTTCATTTTATTCTACTTCTTTTTCCCCAGGGAAAATCTTAAAGAGATGAGGCATAGCTTAAATACATAAGTATTTTTAAGCTTCTTGGAGAGCTTGATAATGATGATGTAGCCTAAGGAATTTCACACGTTTGGACAGGCAAATTTTTCTTTCTTTTGTTCTTTACTTCCTTAAGCTTTCTGTGGTTTCGCTGTTCACTTCACTGCAGAAGGGACAGTAAAAGGGGTGCAGGGTTTCCCGAGTGATAGGGCCGCTGCATCAGCTCCCTGGTGGGGTCTCTGCCAGCACTGAGCACCTTTGACAATCTGATCAAATGCTCTGCTAGGAAAAACATCCCTGGTTCTCAAATGTGTGGCTGCCAAAGCATTAAATGGTTTCATTGAAGTTCATCTGTTACAAAAATGTGAGTGCATCCAGTCAGACCCTGTGAAGACAGATCTGGGTGACACTCTACCTATAAACAGCTACATTTTGGTGGGGTTCATTATGATTGTAATTGATGATGAAAGTACCTAAGGAAACGCAGGAAGGACTTCAATTGGCTCTTGACCTGATTTAAGGTGCTGTAATCTTTCTACTTCTCTCTGAGGTGCTGGTAAAGGAGGAAGCTCTCCCAGAGCACTGTATATTCACCCAGGCTTCCTTCCAACTCTGCACCTTATGTAGCTCTGTGGCAGCTTAAAATTCCCCCGGATGATCTACCAGGCAGTGAACTCTCCCCTCCACGCTGCAGGAATACCATGTGAAGGCTGGTGTGAGGGCTGGAGGCTTATCCGCACCGTTTAAAAGTAATCCCCAAAGTAAAACTGTTGCACTCCAGGCACATTTCTTTGGGCATTAGCAGTCTCGTTACCAGGATGAGGTACTATTATGGGTGTTTATTGTTATCCTATACAGAGCACAAGTAACAAGCAAGTGAAAAAATTGCTTACAACAAACATGAGGGACAAAAAAGAGGCTGCCTTGTTGTGTCCCTGTTCTGAAACTGGTTGATAAAACCACCTAGAATTTCTGCTTCTCACTCTCCTGCCTTCTTCACTGATCAGAAGCTCTCTCTGTTCTCTGCCACCCCACAGCTTTCTGACTATGTGTGTCCCCTCTCTCTGACCAGTGGAGTAATAACAGGTGATACCAAGAGGTTGCAAGTAATGTACAACTGAGAGAGTCATGTGTACTCACAATTCACTCTTTTTTTTTAATTCATTCTCCTAGAAAATACTAAATTAAGAGTACTTTCTTATACCACAAGGTGACTGCTGTCTCTTTGGACCCCAGAAGTCAATCCTGGAAAATCCTTCAATCCTGGAAAAGCAAGCCTAACCAAAAGGACTCGTAAGGGAAGACACATCTAATAGCTTTTCTCTTTTCCTAAATGAAATCTCTTTTCCTGTAAGTAGGCTGTAAAACAGATGCTCTGGTGTGTGCTCAGCCACACACAGTCACAGCCCCAAGTAACTGAAGAAGACGGGCAAAGCCTGCCTTGAGGAGTCCCTGCCGTACCTCACTTTGCCCAAACACTGGTACGCTTGTTTTAGTTTCTTGCTCTAGCTCCTCACTCATTCCCTGTTCAGCTGCTGTATTGCACCTGAATAAACAATAGGAGGGAAGGGAAGGGTGAAGGGGAAGCACTCTAATTGCTCTTAATGGCTATATGTTTAGGTAATGTTTGCCTAGTACTCTGAAGATTCGAGAGTTATATTAACACTCAGCGAGTACTGAAAATAGCATTCAAGTCCCTGGAAATGCTTTATTTCTGCACTCCGAGTGCAGAAACTCCCCTGATGTCACTGCAAATTGTGGGCCTGGTTCAAACACATACTTACTGCACAGTGCCTCCAGCCCGTACACACAATTCCCACTAAAACCAGAGGAATTTCTGTCCATGGGATGGATGCAAGATACACGCGGCAATGTGGTGCTGAGCTACATCACTACTTAGAAAACATGCATAGCTATATTCAGGTCTGAGTTACAGTTGTACAATGAAAAGTCAAAGAGTAACAGTGCCAGGGAGTTTCATGCCACTGTCCTTGGGTCAATTCCAGACTGGATAAGCTGAATGCTAAAGCTCAAATGTGCGTGTTTGGATGTTGGGAGTTCCCCTTGCGTCAGGCCAGAGAATTCAGCCTTAGCTTTCAAATTCAATCAGTTTTTCCTTTCAGCATCACTACCAGAAATAATTGCCATGATTCAAATTTACAGCTTCGTTTACAGCTTTTGAGATCTTGCCTTCAGGAGGCATCTCTCACCACATCCAAGGGACCCTGTCGAGACTGGTGCCTTTGAGGAGGTGAAACAAATCAGAACTGAGCCAGCAGTTCTCCAAACAAGCAGCAGGATTTAGTGCTCTGAAATGTGGCTGCACGTATTACAAAGATGAAAAGCAGGAGAGAAGCTCCCCTGTCACTTGTATATGAATTGGTCTTGCAAAAACTTGGCTAAAAGCTGTACGAGGAGGGAAGCGTCATTTTTACACAGCCACTTTCAGACTGGAATTTGACCTCAAATTGTTGCAACACCACCCCAAAGACCCAACTTACTGTGAGATCGTGCCTGATAGCGAAGTTTTCTGGTTTGATGTCACACAGGTGAAGTCGGTGAGAGAAATCATTGTCGAAATGCTGCACCATGTCCAGAAAGCTGAGTGCAATGTCAATGATGGCTCTCACCCTGGTTCTGTGGCCAGCAAGGGAGGGACCGACCACATTTTCCAAGGGAAAAAGAGTTTTGTGCCAGGCATGTCCAGCTGTGAGATACTCCACAGCATAAAAGTGTCCACAAGAGCCAATAATTCGTAGCACATGTTTGCTGAAGTCCTGCAGCAAACTGAAGTAGATATATTCTTCCTGCTGGAGCAAGGACCACATGCTGGCCACCTGTGCTTTCCAACGTGGTCCCTTCTTCCTTGTCCACAGAGGCCCCATGGTATTGTTGGACAGTTCTAGCCCCAGGGCGTTTTTGACCTCCAAGGCTACCATCAGCAGAAGCTCTGTTTCAGGAATATCCTGTGTTTCCACCTCCTCTAGCATACTGAGATGCTGGTAGCTGGAGAAGATTTCCTTTTTGGATTTCAGGATGATGGGCTGGCCTCTCCAGTCAGCCTGGATGACCTTCTTACCTCTGTCATAGTAAAGGCAGTGTTTGTACACCAGCTTCTGTGCCACACACAGGTCCTCACAGAGGTCGCCAGTCAGGGCTCCACTACTGTAGTCAAGACACTGGAGTGAAAGAGCAGAACATTCATAGCAGGACCGTACACCCATGGACCACTTAGAAGAAAGGCAAAGAATCAGAAACAGTCCTAAGCTTGAGAGGCTTGCAGCAGTTGTAGTACCACAAGCACACACCTTCTACAATCGCTGGGTTATTCAGAGGTTTTTCAGAAGTCTCTAGAGACCTTTTACTTCAAAACAGGGATTCTTGGGATGGTAGAGGACAGGCTTTCTGGGGCAAGGAAATGGACTAGATGACCTGCTACTCTTAAGTTCTTGCCACATCTGAATTCAGTGAGACAAGCTTTGACCAAGAACTTCCAGAATTTTTAAATATGTAAATGCTGTAGGATGAAATGGCTTTTCCAGTTTTAATATGTAATTATCAGAAGAGAAATTTTAATATGAACTGCTTAAATACTTTTTTTCTTAAAAACTGGAAAAACATCAGCCCATGGAAACATGGGAACTGCTGCTTGATAGTGAAGTGGTCACTGCAAATTCGTGCAAGAACTGCAAGGATTCCCTCACCAGTCCTTCCCTCAAGCCATAATTGTTTCCATACCATCATTTTCAAAAGTATAGGCAGTCGACATATTCCTATGGGCATTCAGAAGTGCAGCTGCAGGGACTGCTTTGGGCGAATCAGTAGAGGGGATGATCAGAGGTCTCTGGTGAAAGGGGAATAGACTGCAGTGGTGTAGAAAGCCAAACATCTGGGAGACGGCTTGACAGTGTCAGCCTTCTTCATTGCTTTCTGGCATTTGAACCTTCCTTTAAACAAGTTGGCAGCTCCCCCTACATGTGGAGTACTTGCAACGGCTGCCTGACCCCCACCTCATCTGTGACTTGCTGTTACATACACGAAAAACATGATCATAAAATTCAAGCAATGTATTTTCTTAAGACAGTCTCTGAGGTGTGCACCAGAGAAATATGTTCTGATGCCAGGCAGTGTTCAGAGTCCAACCTTAAACAACACACTGGGGAATGGGTGGAGGATTAAGTCCAAAATCCAGGAATAGTGATAAACTGACTAAAACAACTCACCGAGGGCAGTTCAGACAGGCATAAAATGTATTTATATTCTGATGTTCTTACAGCCCAAATGTGAACATTCAATGCCAGCAAGGAGAGCCAAGTAGGCAAACTCTGGCACGAATGTTCTGACTCTGAGTCCAGGGTGATGTACATGTGTGAAACACACGCATCTGCGTCCACATCAGGATGGTCAAGCAGACTCGGTGGGCTGTCCACAGACTTCAGAGCATGTAGATCAATGGTCTTGCTTTTGAAAATCTGTTCCTATGAATGCAATACAAATTTATTTTCCCTTTTTAAGTAGGAAACGTCATTTTCTCAACAGAAATAGTTTAGTGGTTCTTACCATCTGGAACTCTAAGCAGTTTTAGAAAGAAGATTACAAACAGAAGGAATTTTTGGAGTTTTCTTTGGAGCATAAGTATAATCACATTTAAAATCACTGCTCTCCTATTAAGAAGACCACAACCCAACTCTTCTTCCGCTACTGTAAACAAATATAACACTTAGTGCCATAATTGGGTCCACATGGGTGAACACTTGCCCCTAAGGACAACTGTAGAACTGTGGTCCATCAAGTTCACTCTTAGAGGGTCCGTATGCATGGACCTCCTGCATCTAGAAAAATACATGCCCAGAAGACCTGTAGTCAAACACGGGAATATGCAGCTTGTTTTCTTGTGTTGCCATCACATCATTCTCAATGGCATTAATGAGAAAAGAAGAAGTTGTGGAAAAAATAGTCTCACTTACACTTCCCAGACAGAGAAGATGAGTCATTTTTAAACCTGGCTGCTGTTTAGGACTTGTCCACTGCTCCATTTGAACCCATAAATCTTTGATTATTAACCTACTTGCAAACTAGTTTTTGCAAACTAGGGTCTGTGAAAGAGGACTTGATCAAGGAGAGCTCTACTCACAGAATGTAGTGACTTGTGAGTCACTCCATGGCTTTAAAAATCTCCTCGGTTTCCTGTCATTATAACCTAAGAAGGTCAGCAAAGACTGACTGCTCCTCAATACTTTGACTCATATTATCCCAACTTTTAGGGGTTTATGTTTTGCCATAAGAATAATACACTGAGCAAGCTTGGCTCCCTATAATCCTTTTTTTTTTTCAGCCCCTGGATGATTTTTGTGGTTTTTTCCCTCCCTGATTCTTCTCTCAATTTTTCCCTCCACCAACCTTAGAAGTACAGACAGATCTGAATGCTGTTGTCCAGTATCACAAAGACAGCTAACAGCCCATCCCTAATTCTCCTTTTTGGAGACATTCGGAGATCATATCGGCCTTTTAGGCACAGACTGCACTGGTAGTTCATGTTGAAGCAATTATTTGACACCTATGTCCTTTCCAAAGTCATATAGTTTTACAAGACAGTCTTCCATCCCATTGGCATAGCTTGCACTCTTGTGGTCCCCACTGTACTAGCTTGCATTTTACTGTATTAAAACACATTTTGGTGGACTGAAAACAGTTAACAGTTTTCAGATTACCCTGAAATGAAAAAATAGTCTCTTCATTATTTACCAAGCCAGGAACCTTTGCACTAACTCCACACTTTATCATACCAGATTTTATATCATCACGATGACTGCTGATAAAAAGAAGAATCAATTCCCCAAAGAAATCTTCCAGAAATGGTCCTTCACACTGCCATCCCTGTCTTAATGACTGCATTTGGAGATCTGTCAATGTGACAGTTTTAAATCTACCTAATGAGCACCCTTTGAATGCCACTAAGTGCTAGATTTTTTTTAAACTAAAATATGAAAGTGATACTAAGCCAAAAGCCTTATAGAAGAGCAGCTATGCTACACAAAAATGCAAATACAAGCATGGTTTGGCCTCACTCATCTGTTTCTCTTTAAATTGGTTACATATTTTTTAATAGTCTTAGTACACTTATCAAGATAAGTTAAAAAAGCTGGGTCTAAAGTCATGTAAAAGTTTAAATTAATGTAAACTTCACTAAGGATTTATATAAATTTAAATAACTTACTGTACCACGATCGTTTTTATGTAGATCAGGCCTGAAACTGGGTCCTGCCTTATTATCAAGTACTTCTCCTATGAGCAAGGTTTTGGAAGGCATCGAAATTAATTAATTTCTCCAGAGAAAACAGAAATTGATTGCTATGATTTAATGTGTCCAGTGTAAATGAAGATGAGACCAGTGTTAGAAAAGAGTACGTGGGGTTTTTTTGAGAGTTAAAGTGGGTCTCTGCAAAACGCCCAGTACTACTTCAGCCTTCCCAGCACAGCACACACCTGCACAGATGTACATTTTACTCAGAAGACGGAAATAAACCTTCAGAAATACCACTTGCAAGGGTACACAACCATGCAATTTTCACCCACTTGCTTAAAATAGCTCATCTTATCTCCTACTGAAAATACGACAGATGACTAGTAAAATATTTTTTCTCTGAAGTCGAATTTTTGCTTTATAAAAGGCGTGAGACTCAAGCTACCTGACCGTTTTGTAGAACGATTGCACTTTCTGTAACTGCAAAACTCACACTGTGCTCAGAAGTTGTATAAAGACTTATTTCAGGGCTGATGAAGATGAACTCAGTTGCTAATTGTTCCACTAGAAAGAAGATCCCTTTCCAACATCATCTGGGAAAACTGTCACTTAAAAACCTTTAGGATACTATCGAAGGCTCACTGATGGAAACAGATGAACACCACCATCTCAGCTACTCTTCCTCTGGAAGAAGGATCTGAAACTGAACTGTCACACAGCCATAGAGACAACTTAACCAAGCTCGTGCCTGAAACCTGATCCCTGCCTGGGCTTTTGAAGTCATGCCCAACCTCTCAGAACTGAAGAACTGCAACAAGTCTCTCTCTCCATCTGTTCCCTGGTGAGTGTGATGGCAAGGGCCTGGACCTCCCTGAGCTCCGCAGCTCCTTGCAGCTCCACTCCTCCGAGCTCTTCCCAGCCACGTAAGGAGCGGGCAGCAGGATTCATTCCTTCAGCTGCAGTCCCGAGCTCAGCCGTACTTCACGCTGACTGCTGGGGTATAGAAACTGGATCTCACTGCCATTAAACACACGCTGTCAGGACCAATGCCTATAGCTTCTCTTCCTTTTATTATACAGTATTTAGGGGAAATCTGTGATCAATTTTTTCTTGCTGCAGTAACAGATTAATTTCCATTAGGATTCCTCCTTTCCACCTAACCATTGGCACTACAAATACCTTGATTAAGAAACCAAACTAAACTCAAAGCATTAACCCACGCTGCTCCTCTTCTTGAAGTGTTTCCTACACAATTCTAAATCTAATCTGCTGGTTTATCTTTTTTTTTTTTTTTTAAGAGAGATTTTTATGAATACTCACAAACCCTTTCTTGAATCTCCAGTAACTACATCTTCAACGCCAGCCCCTGCCAGACGTAAAGGAGGTGTTACAAGCCGTGTGGCATTTCTGAAAGACCACTATTTGTACAAACACCTTTTCGGCTAAATAAATAATAAATTAAATT